CAAAACAATCTTACAAAACTTTGATATAGTTAACATTCAACCAACAACTACAAAAAAAAACAGACAGAAATTTTTTTTTATTTATTTGTTTGTTTGTTTATTTATTTATTTATTTATTTGAACAGCAAAAATGGAGGTGTGTATGGACTTGGAGCAGGGGGTTGGAAATTAGATATATAGAAGTAGGGTAAGATTTTAGCAGGGTGTAAACAGAAAGAATAGGGAAAATCTAGAGCACAAAAGGGTTAAGATAAAGGGGAAATATTAGGAAGAGAGTGATGGCATAAAGGTAGAGTTGAGATAGAATAAAGTGATGGTGAAGGAAAGGTGAAAATAGACTGTAGAACACTAATCCTGAGGTAAAATAAAGAGCAAATGAAATGACACTTAAAAAATATTTTAAAAAGTAAATGAAATGAAAAAGGTAAAATAGTTGTAGTAATAATGCTGATTACAAATAAAAAGGTAATATTTCAAAAGGTAAAATCAACTGAACCAAAAAAAGGAAAAAGTAGTTTCTTGAGTAAATGATGCAAATAATGAAAATAAAAACAAAAACAAAAAATAAAATAAAATGTGCAGTAGTAAAGGTCATTCACTTCCTCTATCATTTTGTTTGGCATGCCTGTTTCCCAGTCTGGACAGCATTGTAGTTCCCTGTGTTTCACTGCTCCTCAGTGTTGTAATTCAGTCTTGATTTTTAAGCAGACTGTGCCTTAATTTTTGGTGTTCTTTTTATTTTTTATTACACTAGGGTCAATTTGCGATTCAGCTTCTGTGTGGCAGTGTTTCTGGTTTGAATTGCAGATCTCTAAGGCCTCTCTTGCTTTTTTTTTCTCTGTGACACTCAACCTGTTTTCAGAGGCTGGCGGGCAAATCTGAGCAGACTGCACTCCCTTGAAACTCGCCGGCTATCCGTCCATGTCAGATCAAAATGGTTGCTCTTTAGAGATCCTCCTTGCTAGCATCTCTGCAGAGCCCCTTCCATAATCACAAATCACACTAGCCCAATAACCTGGCCTTTTCCTTGTAAACACCTCCCCAGTCCTCCAGCTTCTGTGTGCCCTGCACGCATTTCTGTCTTCTGCTGGGACTCAACGTATCACTGCGAAATCTGATCTTTCCATGGTGCAGTGGAGAGCTCCTTTGAGTCCAAGCATTTGCACCACCTGGGACCAGTATTCTAGGGCGCATAGATGTTTGGTGGTCTTCGCGGCTATGGATATTTGGTTCTCTGACAAGATCCACTTTTCCTTTAAAGATGGTGAGATTTCCCCATCCTAGCCCGTAGCTCGAGGAGGAGACCCAGCCGCTGTGGGTGCTTCCCTGCCTTCTCCTGGAGTTCACCTGTACCTTAACTTGCTAACAGACACCCCCACTGCATCCCTCAGAGGTTCTTTCTTTCTGCTTCAGGACAAGGCTCAGAACATGTCTGTCTATTCTGTCACCATTTTCTCCTATGCTGCTTCTTTGTATTTCAAATATTTGACTTGATTCTTGCAGTCCTCTAGTCTGCTGTTGGGTCTCTGTAGAATATTTTTTATTTCAGTCAGTGGATGTTTAACAATTAGTCCTTTTTCATATCCTTGAGGATCTAGCTAAATTTATCAGCCTTTTCTAGGAAATTCTTGAAAAACCTTTTAACCATAGTTCTGAATTCTATATCTAGTCATTTATTTTCCTCCATTTCTTTCATTTGTGATCTGTTACTTTGTCTCCACATTTTGCTGCTTCCCTGAGTTGATAAGGTACTTTGTGTGCTAGGTTTCCTATGTGGCCCAGTGGGGGTCAGCCTCCCCAGTCACCAGAGGTGGACACTCTTGGTGCACTCCTTTGTGGTCTGTGTGTATAGCCTTGTTGTGGTTAAATCTTGATTGTTGTTGGTATCACTGGGAGGAATTGACCTCCAGTCCAATTGGCTTTAGTATCAACTCTGTCTACGCTGGGAGACCTCCTGTGATGAAGACAGCTTTATAGGACCAGACTTGCAAAATTGCAACAGCCTCTGTGCTCAGGTTGGATGGGGCAGTGTCTCAGGGCTGATTAGACAGTCTTGGCTTCCCATAAGCCCTGACATTGCGCATACACTTCAGACCTCTGCCTTCCACAGCTCCCCTGAGTTTCTGCCTGACAGTCTAGATTTCCCCAGGCTCAACTGGAACTGGGATTCAGTGCTGTCAGAACTGGAGTTTAGTGCAGTAAGGTGCTTCTGACTCCCTTCTCCTGGGGATAGTTAGCTGCAACCTCAGCAGTCAGTCTTCTCTGCAGGCACTTGAGTGCGTGCACTTCCAGACACCTGCACACCATGGCTTCCCTGAGTCTTGGAGTCTCTGGGTACCTTTTTCTCTACCTGACATCCAGACTCGCCCCCCCCCCCCCCCCCATATGAGCCTGGGTCCATGGCGTTTCTCCTGGAACTGGGGTTCAGTGTAGTCAAAACTGGGGTTCAGTGCAGTCAGGGGTTCCCTTCCCTCTCCTGCCAGAGAACACCAGCCTGGCACTCAGCCGTTCTTCCTCTCTGTGAGTGTGTCTCTATATCTCAGTCCTTTATAGCTCCTCTGATTCTTTGTGTTATATTTCCTTCTAGTTATAGAATTTCCACTCAGCCAGCTATCCTGTGGTTCTGGATGATATACATTCTGTCTTTTAGTTGTAGGTTTGAAATTGTTGTACGAGGCAATAGTTTAGATATTTACCTTGGTTTGAGGTGGGACTCTTATATACAGCATGTATATGTGTGTTTTTCTATCCATTCAGCCACTCGATGTCTTTTCATTGGAGCATTTAGTCCATTTACGGTTAAAGTCATTATTGATAGGTACTTGTTTGTAGACATTCTTATTTCTTGTGCCTATGTTCCTTCTTCACTTTTTATTTCTTCTTTTTACACTAGTCCCTTTAGCATTTCTTGCATTGCTGGCATTGTAGTGATAAACTCCCTTAGCCTCTTTTTTTTTTTTTTCTGTAAAGTTCCTTATTTCCCCTTCAATTTTGAATGATAGCCTTGCTGGATAGAGTATTCTTGGATTCAGTCCCTTGCTTTGCATCACTTTGTTAATTTCCTTCCATTCTTTTCTGGACTGATGTGTTTCTGTTGGAAAATTATTTGATAATCTAATGGGACATCCTTTGTATGTAACTGTCTGTCTTTCTCTTGCAGCCTTTAAGATTCTCTCTTTGTCCTGAACATTTGCCATCATAAATATGATGCATTTTGATGTGGGTTTTTTTTGGGGGGGGTTCATCTTTTTTGGAACTTTCTGTGCTTTTGTGACCTTTTTTCTTCCCCACATCAAGGAAGTTTTTTGATATTATTTCTTCAAATAAGTTTTCTAACCCTTGTTCCTCTTCCTGTTGTTCTGGCTCCCCTATTATTTCTATGTTGCTTCATTTCATGTTATCCCAAAACTCCTATAGGCTCTCCTTACTTTAATTTTTTTTCTCCAATTGTAGTTCAGCTTGGGTGTCTTTTGCTTCCCTGTCTTCTAATTCACTAATTTGGTCCTATGCTTCTCCTATTCCAGTGGTTGGCAAACTGAAGCTCACAAGCCACATGTGGCTCTTTGGCCCCTTGAGTTCTTAGCAAAGGCCAGCTTAGGAGTATCCTAATTAAGTTAATAACAATGTACCTACCTATATAGTTTAAGTTTTTTTAAAAAAATTGGCTCTCAAAAGAAATTTCAATTGTTGTACTGTTGATATTTGACTCTGTTGACTAAAGAGTTTGTCGTTTCTAGTGTATTGTTGAAACTTTCCATAGTGTTTCATATTGCAGCTATATCACTCTTCATTTCTTCTTGATTCTTGTTGATTTTTTCTTCTATCTGGTTTATGAAACGTATGACCCTTATTCTGAATATTTTTCTGACATATCGCATGCCTCTGCTTCACTCAGCTGCTTTTCTGGTGATTCCTCCTTTTCTTTACTTTGGGGTTTCTTTGTCTACCTATTTTTTATCTCACTGATGGATCTAGATGTCAAGTCATGCAATGGCTACTCCTTGGATGGAATTGGCTCCTTGGGCTGTGGTTGCTCCTTGGTCAGTTGCAGCAGTGGCTTCTCCTCAGTTGACAGTGGCTCTTCTGGTGGGTGCTGTTTGCAAAAATGATGACTCCTCTGGCTGGAGGGGGAAGGATGCTCACACAGCTGCTACTACTCTGACAAGGGTGGGCTGATCACTAGGCTGATACTCCTCAGATAGGGGCAGGCTGCATGTGATTGCTTTTCCTCAGATGGGGATGGGGTGCTCACATGGATGCTACTCCTTGGACAGAGGCAGGTTGCTCACAAGGCTACTGCTCCTCATACAGGGGTGGGCTGCTTGCATGGCTGCTGCTCCTTGGATGAGGTTGGGCTTCTCACTCGGCTGCTGCTCATTAGACAGGTGTTGTCTATGTGTGGCTGCTGCTCCTCAGACTGGGGAGGGCTGCTCATGTGGCTACTGCTCCTTATACTAGGCCGGGCTGCTTAGGTGGCTGCTGCTTCTTAAATGGGAGCAGGCTGCTTGTGGAACTGCTCTTCTTTGGACAGGAGTGGGCTGCTCACCCAGCTGCTGTGCCTCAGATGTGGGCAGGTTGCCAGCACAGCTGATGCTATACAGCATGTCAGATGGGGGTGGGCTGAATGGGGTGCTGCTCTTTAGTTGTGGGCAGGCTGCTCATGCAGCTGCTGCTCCTTGGACGGACCCAGGCTGCTCATGTGGTTGCTGCTCCTCAGGGGAGTGGGCCACTCACATAGCTGCTGCTCCTTGGACAGGGGCAGGCAATGTGAGGCTGCTGCTCTTCAGCCTCAGGCAGGCTGCTTGTGGGGCTGTTGTTCTTGGTGCTCTTGTGGTCACAGTGCTCTGGGAAATAGCTGGAGTTTTGAATTCTTAAAAGTGCTAACTCATCTCAAAAGGAGTAGTTTGTGGCTCATATATTTGTTTTCCTTTTATTGCCTGGTTATTAATATTTAATATTTTATTTTTTTGATCATTTTAATAAAAATATTCATTCCACAGATTTCAATGGGACAGATGCTTCAAGATTTTGGAAAATTTCTTGGGATGTTCCTTCTTGTTTTGTTTTCATTCACAATTGGATTGACACAACTGTATGATAAAGGCTATACTCCAAAAGAGCAGAAGGACTGTGTGGGCATCTTTTGTGAGCAGCAGAGCAACGACACCTTCCATTCGTGAGTGTCTTTTACAATTTTTAGTAAACATATTGCTCTCTTTCTAACATGCTGTGTAGGAATTACAGAAATCGAACTTCAAATCTTTAAGAAATTCCTTTTTAATAAGAAATACTTATTTTTAGTGTATCACTTGATAGTTATCTTTACATATAAAACCTTAAATAATTACTAGGCCCATATTATTCCATTGGCTTTTTATCCCCCCCCCCCCCCCCCACACACACACACACTTCTGGCTGTGTGAGTGGAGGAGCTTTTGGCACTTCATGCACTGCTGGCTTGGGGTGCAGGGCAGCTCTTCATTGGTTGTATATATTATAAGACATTCAGCAACTCTGCTTCTCACTCACTGTTACAACCAAAACAATTTCTCACATTTTTTTGCTTGTTGGGAGTTATTGGAATGGCCAATTATTAGAATTTTATGACATTTTTCTCTCTGATTTACTGTTATCAGAATACATACATACTTTAATTATGCTCAATAAGAAATTGAACAACCAGTTGTGAGGCAGATAAAATATTGCCCCCTCATTCCTTAATAAAATAACAGGTGTGGAATTGCATATTTATTGTTTTGTGTACCAACTCTTCTTCAGTTACTTTTATGTTATCTTATTTAGGGAAGATTAAATGAATAATAAATGTTCATCCAACCATTCTGCATACCAAACAATTCTAAGTGCTGAGTGAGTAGAGTGTCAATGAGCAGGACCACCTCATGGAGCTTATTAGTATATTATTATGAGGTGATACAGGCAATAAGAAATAAAATATACAATGTATTACACAGTGATAATGGCTAATGAGACAAAGCTTGGGCCAGAGTAAGTATGTGTAAGGGTACAATTTTATTTATAATATTAGGGAAGGCCTACAGAAATGACATTCAGATAAATATGTAAAGCTGGTGAAAGATCAAACAGCGAAGGAGGGGTCTAGAGGAAGTGCATCATCAGAGAGAAGGAAGGCTAATGCCCTAAGTTGGAAGTATGGCTGCAAATTCAAGGAAAAGTCAGGAGGCTGGTGGGGGGCTCGGTGGGGGATAAATTCGAGTGAGGGCTGTAGATGAGGTCAGAAAGATAATGGGATCATGTAGGACCTTGTTGGCCCTTGTAAGGATTTTGGGCTATTGAGATAGCCATTTGGTATTTTTGAGCAGAGGAGTGACAAAATTTGATTAGGCATTAACAGGATCATATATATTGGTATGTTAAAAATGGACAGAAAGCAATAAGAGATTAAAGAGGAATAATTTCTTTTCTTTTTGAGTCTACTTCTTTGTTTAAAGTAAGTCATATCTTTACTGTTGGGTTCACCTCATTTATTTTATAAAGTGTTTTTCTTGGATTATCAATGTTTTCTTTACATAGTGTTTTTATAAATGGATTCTTTATTTTTCTAATTATTTAATTTTCTTTTAAACAAAAATGTAATCATCTTTACAGGTTCTTTGGCACTTGCTTTGCTTTGTTCTGGTATATTTTCTCCTTAGCACATGTGGCAATCTTTGTCACAAGATTCAGCTACGGAGAAGAATTACAGTCCTTTGTGGGAGCTGTCATTGTTGGCACGTACAACGTGGTGGTTGTGATTGTGCTCACCAAGCTGCTAGTGGCAATGCTGCACAAGAGCTTTCAGTTGATAGCAGTAAGTGTCTATTCTTATAAAAACTCTATATTCTCTTCAGATCATACACAGTTAAGGCAACCAAATATAAGAATTAAGAATTACTAGCATTTTAAAATCAGATTTTTAATGCAAGTAGTGTATAGTAAAAGCAAATCATGAATCAAAATTTTACCTACAAGATTATAGGGACATGGACAATTTAAAATAATATATTTTTCTCTGCCATTCCTCATGTGCATGTTCATATTCTATACCGCTTTTTCATTTGCCTTTTATAGAATCATGAAGACAAAGAATGGAAGTTTGCCCGCGCAAAGTTGTGGCTTAGTTACTTTGATGACAAATGTACATTACCCCCACCTTTCAACATCATTCCTTCACCAAAAACCATCTGCTACATGATTAGTAGCCTCAGTAAATGGATTTGCTCTCATACATCAAAAGGCAGGGTTAAACGGCAAAACAGTCTAAAGGTAAGAGACTAGAATTGCAACATAGAAGTTTTAATAATTCCTAACCTCAAATGTTTGCCCAGGCATAATATGTGGGCTTCTTAAGGCCTGGGACAGTCTTGATTTTTTTATTCCTGTATCCCTAATGCACAGCATAGATAAAATATAAAGCAAGGATTCAATATTTTCAAAAATGAGAGATAGAACTGGAATTTTTTTCATGAAATCTCATCTCAGTTTTAAAACATGGAGAAAATATTTATTATCCCTATTCTGTAATTGTAGTGACTGATAGTCAGCTCATATTTTTTCTGGTTCTTATTGAAAGTTATTCAATATGTGAATAATTTAATACATGTTGCTATAAATCAGATGTTGGCAATTTTTTTTTCTGTAAAGGGCCAGATAGCAAATAATTTAGACTTTATAAGCTGAGACAAAATGAAAAATTTATGTGAGTACTAATAGAATAAGAAAGAACATAAATTTCCACTAATTTATTAATGAAATAAAAATATAACTATAATTGAGTAATAATTTTTGTAATACAGATCTATTAATGAAAAGAATGGAATTCCATTTGGATGAGGATAAACATTTTTGTTTAATTGAGGTTCAGAACTACTGTTCCCAGCCTGCTGGATAGCTCTGTTGGTTAGAGTATCATTCTTATACACCAAGGTTGCAGGTTCCATTCCCAGTCTAGCACATACAAGTGAATGCATCAATAAGTGGAACAAGTGATCTCTCCCTCTTTCTCTCTTTGCATCTTTCTCTCTTCCTCCCCCTTATTCTTTCTATTTCTCAAAAAAAATCAATCTAATAACAAATGTTCATCTTTAAAACCATTCTAGGCGACAAGCCATTAAAACCAAAAGTAGTTCAATTTGACCTATGTGTAGGTAATAGTTTGCTAATTCCTCCTATAAACTGATGACTCCTATGACTATTTTTGAATCAAAATAAGCACACAGGTGAATGAATAAAACAAATATGCAGGCTACATTTGTTTTAAACAAGTGTTAAATGTTATTTTATAACAGAGTGGCAAAAGTATAGTCTAATAAAGCATTAGAAGATTTCTATTTGTATCTGTGAATATTTTTCAAAAATTCACTTCTTTTAAATATTGTTTATGCCCATTGTTAGTATCATATGATTGCTTGTTTTGAAGGAATGGAGAAATTTGAAACAAAAGAGAGATGAAAACTACCAAAAAGTGATGTGCTGCTTGGTACATCGTTACTTGACTTCCATGAGACAGAAGATGCAAAGCACAGATCAGGCAACTGTAGAAAATCTAAATGAACTGCGCCAAGATCTGTCAAAATTCCAAAATGAGATAAGGGATTTACTTGGCTTTCGAACTTCTAAATATGCTATGTTTTATCCAAGGAACTAATCACTTTCTAAATCACTTAGAGAATAATTTTCAATAATAAATCTGAAAGGCTGTTTGCATAACTTGAAATTAAATCATAAGATATATATTGAAATACAGAATTATGTAAAAGCATTGTTTAAAATATTTAGAGCATAACTATGTTATATAAAATATGTAAATAGAGTAAGCTTTTAAAAACTTCTGTTGGTTGTTTTTGTGGAAGCAAAACAGATTTAGTAGCAGGTTTTGTGAGCATGCTGTTTGGTTTTCTTATTTGAATAATGCACTAAATTTTTTTTCTTTTTATGTTAAAGAAGGGCAGTTATAATTATAAACATTGCCAGAAATTCGCTAAATGAAGACCAATAAATGTCTTCTATGGAATAAGTTGAAGTATTGAAGTCATAGTTTATAAAATATGCTTTAGGACTTTACATATAATATAGTATTTATTGTTTGGGATTATAGTTTAATCTAAAATGGTAATCTGTTTTTATTTTATTGTAATCCTAAGTAACAAAGTAACAACCTTACTTAATATTTGAATCTATTTATGTCTCTATAAATTTAAATTCACTTCAGTTTTGTTATTGTAATATATTTACTTTTACATGGTTGTAATTACTCTATTTTTAATTTTACTTTTTTGTTCATTTAATAGTATTTTTTTAAATATATTTTATTGATTTTGTACAGAGAGGAAGGGAGAGAGATAGTTAGAAACATCAATGAGAGAGAGTCATCAATCAGCTGCTCCTGCACACCCCCTACTGGGGATATGCCCGCAACCAAGGTATATGCCCTTGATTGGAATTGAACCCGGGACCCTTCAGTCCCCAAGCCAATGCTCTATCCATTGAGCCAAACTGGCCTCGGCCATTTTATAGTATTTTATATATACATTAGAGGCCCATGCATGAAATTTGTGCAAAGGCCTTTGCCCTGGCCACTGCTGGCACCGCCAGCTGGGGGGCTCTGCCACCTTTGCCGCAGACCCCCTACTTCAGTTTTGTCCAGAAGGAAGGATGTCTGGTCTAATTAGCATATTATACTTTCATTATTATAGATTTCCATTTATTGATATAAGTCTACCTGTTAAATTTTATAGAATCATATCATTATTTAAATATATAGTTAGTAGATTTTTTATTTGTCGCTGTAAAGTACTTTTTATGTTTACAGGTTTACCCAGATACTTTTATAAGATTAGACATTTGTTTTTAACCTTTTTCTTGTTATAATAGTGCCATAATTTTTTTCAGGTTGGCGTGAATGTTCATAGCTATAAATTAAGGTCTTAGAAGATATTTTTGTACCACGTGTGGTCACAGGTTGTTTTATTTTTTTAAACATTGTTAAACCCTGCAGGGATCTGTTCTATTTGAATTAAGGTTCTTGGGCTTTTCTCCCAAAGTATTTTCCATAGAATTAACATAGCTTCTATAAAAGTGACTTCGTGTTGATTTGTGGATTATTCTTGCTGCTTAAGATGAAAAGTATTGATTTTATTAAATTAGAAAATAAAATATATATTAAAATTTATTTCCTATGTTCATGCAAAGGATGTAGTTAAAAATTTTTCAAAGGCTTATATATTCTTGCAAAATTTCTAGTTAAGAGGTTATTAGGTCTATAATTGACTTCTTAACTGAATGTCATGTGGTCTTAAGGCTACTGGGTACAGGTCATCTTGGAAGCACCACTGATTCTGGGATCATTGTCTGAATATATTAGTTTTGTGTTTTAGCTTGCTTTTCACGTTTTACTTTTTAATTTCCAAATTATAAGTGTTCCCTCTTTGGAGCCAATTCTTATAAAAATGTTTAATGTAAAGTTATATATTTTGTCTACAATAGGATTATGCAATTCCCAATTGGGAGTTCACATCAGGATTTTTAGTCATTATAAAAGAATACCTAATTATTAAATAAAATATTTATGGAGTGCTTATGGTGTGCATGGATTACTTGTGTGGTATATTTTGAGTAACAGTATATTGCTAGAAGAAAGGTGAATAAAACAACATTGGATTGTAAATGGACAGAGTCTGTTCATTGTATTATTGAAAATTTTTTTACCCTTTGTCCTTTTTTTAAGATAGAATTCCCATCATCAAATTCACTCTTTTAAAGTATACAACTCAATGTTTTGTTTTGTCTATAAGTTGTGATAACAAAGTCCTAAAATGCAAAACATCAACTTTAAACTTCAGTACCTTTCTACCTTCAGTGGTAATTACATATAACTTTTTAAAACTCTACCTTTATTCTATATAATAAAAGCCTAATATGCTAAGTGTCTGGTCGACTGGTCAGCTGTTCAACCAATCAAAGCATAATCCTACCTAATAAAAGAGTAATATGCAAATTAACCATCACTCCACAAGCCATTCCCACAAGCCATGCCCACCAGCCAATCAGAGCGAGTATGCAAATAAACCCAACCAAGATGGCAACAGCCACAGAAAACAGGAGGGAGGCATTTCCCCAGCAATGGAAAAAGCCAAGCTTTCCGCCTGCCCTTGCCGGCCTAACCTTCCACTCAAGGCTACAGAGTTTCAATTATAGAAGGTAAACAAATTCAAACAGAAATGGCTGCCACCACTGAGCGAGCAGGAGGCTTCTCTCTGCTCCAGGCTACAAAGTTACAGTTGTAGAAAGTAAATATATCCCAGATACCAGGGCCTCTACTTGGGTCACTGGGGGTATGTGGCCAGTTTGCAAACAACCACAGGCCCCTCGCTCAGGCTGCCCCACGCCCCAAGGAAACTCCCACCCTGATCTGGGACACCCTTCAGGGCAAACCAGCTGGCCCCCACCCATGCACCAGGCCTCTATCCTATCTAATAAAAGAGTAATATGCAGATTGACCATCACTCCAACACACAATATGGCTGCCCCAATGTGGTCAAAGATCCTGCCCCTATGGGCACACAAGATGGCCTGCAGGGGAGGGCAGTTGGGAGGGACCAGGCCTGCAAGGGAGGGCAGTTGTGGGTGATCAGGCAAGTAGGGCAGGGCAGTTGGGAGGCAACGGGCCTGCAAGGGAGGGCAGTTGAGAGGGACCAGGCCTGCAAGGGAGGGCAGTTAAAGACTATCAACATGCAGGGGAGGGCAGATAGGGGTTACCAGGCCGGCAGAGGAGGGAAGTTGGGGGCAAACAGCTGGCAAGGGAGCAGTTAGACATCAATCAGGCTGGCATGGGAGTGGTTAGGGGGTGATCAGGCTGGCAGGCAGAAGTGCTTAGGGACAATCAGGAAGGCAGGCAGGTGAGCAGTTGGGAGCCAGCAGTCCTGGATTGTGAGAGGGATGTCTGACTGCCCATTTAGTCAGACAGTCGGACATCCCTTGAGGTTTCCCAGATTGGAGAGGGTGCAGGCTAGACTGAGGGACAACCCTATCTGTGCACTATTTTCATGCACTGGGCCTCTAGTATGCTAATGATATTCTAAGATGGTTCAATTGCTCGCTATGATGTGCACTGACCACCAGGGGGCAGTCAACCTGTCGACCAGTCGCTATGATGTACACTGACCACCAGGGGGCAGTCAGTCAACTGGTCAACCAGTTGCTGTGACATGCACTGACCACCAGGGGACAGATGCTCCAACCCGTAGGTTAGCTTGTTGCTGGAGTCCAGTTGATCCGGACTGAGCGAGATGGGTCAGACATGCCCTGGAGTCTGCCCATGGTCCCTCCCAATCTGGCCCCAGTCATGCACCCATGGGGTCCCTCGGCCCGACCTGTGCCCTCTCATAATCTGTGACCCCTCAAGGGATATCAGAGAGTTGGTTTCAGCCTGATCCCACAAGCCAGGCCGAGGTACCACACTGTTTCACAAATTTGTGCACCAGGCCTCTAGTATTTTATTAAAGGACAAATATGATTAACCCAGCTGTTTATTTGAATTACAAAAGTAATGTGATTCAATATGAAAATAAGAAACTGTCTACAAATCTCTGACAGTAATAAATGGCAATATACAGTGTAACTGGGGTCACACAGAGTAACAAACTCTCTTATAAAAATATTTTAACACCTTTTAAATTCAACTTTAAAATTATCCATGGAGCCGAGACCGGTTTGGCTCAATGGATAGAGCGTTGGCTTGGGGACTGAAGGGACCCGGGTTCGATTCCGGTCAAGGGCATGTACCTTGGTTGCGGGCATATCCCTGGTAGGGGATGTGCAAGAGGCGGCTGATCAATGACTCTCATCAATGTTTCTAACTCTCTCTCCCTCTCCCTTCCTCTCTGTACAAAACCAAAAAAATATATTTTTTTAAAAAAAAATAAAGTTATCCATGGAAAAGATTGTCAAGTCAGAATAAATACCCCATAGTCAAACATCAGAAGCTGCACACTGGCAATTTAATATGCAACAGCATCTTTTCCTCAGGCCTTTCCTTCTCTATCTGCTCAGCTACATTCCCCACTCCATCCTTTCCTCAGCCCTGAAAATGGAATGTGTTGAAATCTATTGCTATGATGTTGTGCAAACCATAACATGTTGTTAACCATTTTAGTCACTAAACCAGCGGAGAACTGGGACAGCTCTTTCCTTAGCTCATCTGTAGCAGTGATTCTACCAAAACCTCTCTCCTTTCATAGCTTCTGGATTTCTGAAGCTATAATTTCATGACTACCAGCCTAAGGTGGACATGGCAGGGAGAACATCTTCTCCATTGTCTCCTACCTCCTGATGGCATCATTCCTGCTTCAGGTTCCATGAAGCTGATAAGCTCACACACTGTTGAACACATTCTCTAGCATGTTTTGCAATCATTCCTATGTGAGGTATAGCATTTTTCATGATACTTTCTACATTTGTAATTGAAAGATAAATACCTTGTTTTCTGAAACTTTAAAAAAAAATGTCATCAGAGAGGAAGGGAGAGGAGGAGAGAGAGAAACATCAGTGATGAGAGAGAATCATTGATCAGCTGCCTCCTGCACAGCCCTAGTGGGTGGGGATGGAGCCCGCAACCCAGGCATGTGCCCTGGACTGGAATGGAACCCT